GTGATGAGAATTTACAGTGCCACAAAAGGCACCAAGCATAAGTGCCCATGGAATGCCCTTGAGCAATATCTATCCCCCTCCCTTGGCTTTACTTTCCAGAAGCTTCTGGAGAACAGGATCCTCACTCCTCCTCCTCCTCCTTTTTTTCCTTCTCAATAATCCAGGTTGGAATTTAAAGAATTTCTCTTGAAGCTGGGCATGTGGTTTATAATCCCAGCACTCAGGAGATTGAGGCAGGAGGATCACAAGTTCAAGGCCTGGGCCAGATACCGAGGTCCTGACTCAAAAACTCTCCCACTCAAAAAAAAAAAAAACCACTAGACACTTTTCTCTCTCAGTCCCACATTGTTCAGTACTGTGGATCTGACTTCACAGCTTAGGTTTATCCCCAGGGTTGCCACTGTCCTCACCACCTACACTTGCCTCCTGAATGACCCCATCTTCCCAGCCTCGCTCCTCCTCAACTATCCTCCACAGGGCAGCCAAAGTCCAAAGCTAATCTCTATCCTGCTAAAACCCTCCCATTCCCTTGGGGACTAAATTCAAGATCCTCATCTCAACTATGTCTCTTCTTTTCCCAATCTTTTTTGCAGTACTGGGTTTGAACTCAGGGCCTCCACCTTGAGCCACTCCACCAGCCCTTTTTTGTGATGGGTGTTTTCGAGGTTGGGTCTCACTGTTTGTCTGAGCTGGCTTCTACTGCGATCCTCCTGCTCTCTGCCTCCTGAATAGGTAGGATTACAGGAGTGAGCCCCAGCACCTGGATCCTTCTCCAATCTTAATTCCTCCCTTCAATCAGGCTGCCCCTCAGCTCCTGCTGCTTGGGACCCGCTTCCCTGTCCCCTCACTTTCGTGACTTCCCTTTTCCCTCAGGCTGACCCAGGATACCACTTGCTGAGGCAAGTCTTCAACACCTGGGTGAGGCATCTCTTGCACCTGCACTCAGCACTTCTCACTCATCACCTTCTTCTACAACTTTTACTTTTCATAGCTTTTTCCTCCACAAGACTGTAAGTTGTTCATGGGTAGGAATGTTGGCTATTCTTTTTGACACCTATTCTAGGGCCCAGTATTTGGTGGTACTCAGGTCTGCACTGAGTTTACTTGAGCCATTCCTCCAATGGCCTTTTAGTTTATTTTTCAGATAGGGTCTTGAGCTTTTTGACTAGTGATGGCCTCAGACCATGATCCTCCTACCTCTGTATCTTGCCTCCCTGAGATTATAGGCATGCACCACACCAAGGTTGTTTTTTGAGATAGGGTTTTGTTAACTTTTGCCTTGGCTGACCTGGAACTGTGATCATATCTTATGGCTGCCTCCCATGTAGCTAGGATTACAGGTGTATTGTTGGCTATTTTTATAATAAAGCCAACATTTATTGAGTGCTTTCTAAGTACTACCCATTACAAGCAATACTCCTTTGAATCCTGTAACAACTGGAGAGTAGGCAGTTGTTAGGGTACAGGTACATTGCATACATTATGAAGAACAGATTTCTTAACATTGGGCTGTGTTACTAAATTTACTCTTCCCCAGCATGGAGCCAGTGAAGAAGGGATGAGTTGAAGGAGGATTTTTTGTCTGTATACTACTTTCAGGATTTTCAAAGTGTTGCTACACTCATAGAGGTAATGATTATCAACAGGTAGTCTATGTAGTTCCTCTTAAGAAAAGGGCATTATTGTATGCTGCCTGTGCAGATGCAAGCTGGTAGAAATGTAAAATATATAGGGAGAATAATTTGGACTTATCAAATTTTAAATGCACATACCCTTTGGGTCCAGCAGTCCCGTTTGAGGGAATCTATCCCAAAGACAGACTTGTACATGTGTCCCAAAAGCCTTTGTACAAGGAAATTTGTGACAGGATTATTTGTAATAAGGCAAGGAAGGAAACAGCATAAGTGCTTGTTAATAATGGGGAAGAATCTTGCAACTAATGGAAAGGAGAAAGACCCATCTCTATTTTTTGTGGAAAAGTCTCTAAGATGTTCATTGTAAAATATAAAATGGCAATCCATATGGTACTGCCTTATTTATGTTTATTAAAATTCATGCATATGTATGTATACATATGTTCTGCATATGCATATACATATGTGCATGCAGAGAAAGGACTGAGAGGACATTTATCAATTTAGTTAGTGCTTTCTCCATGGATGAGGATGGTTGTGAGAGAGGTACCCATACTTTCCTCAAAGGACTTCTGCACAGTTTACATATCACACACTGAGACTGGATTCAGGTATTACTCATCAAATGAAAATAAAATAATTCAAAATTAATTTCCTTCTATATTTTCACCATTTCCATTTGCTTTTCTCCTTAACTCTTTTTTCAGTATATAATAAATATATGTTCAGAGTTTAAAGTACTACAATAAAAGTTTAAAAAGTATATAAATAAAAACAAATACCTCCTGTATTTGTTACCTGTTAACATTTAGGTAAAAGAAGAAACGGAAGGAGGAAATGCTGTTTGTCTCTATCATACATATAATAAAATTGCTAACATGCTGTATATGGAGTTTTGGACTCTGATTCTTTCTTCTTTGTTTTTTTGTGGTGCTGGGGTTTGAACTCAGGGCCTATACCTTGAGCCACTCCACCAGCACTTTTTTTGTGATGGGGTATTTTTAAGATAGGGTCTGGCAAACTATTTTCCCAGGCTGCCTTTGAACCATAATCCTCCTGATCTCTGCCTCCTGAGTAGCTAGGATTATAGGCATAAGCTACTGGCCTGATTCTTTCTTTTAGTAAGATATTGAGGACTTTCCCCCATGTCATTACTTATTCTTCATTTAATGAATGTACCTTCTAGGTATTTAGGCTGATTCCAAGTTTCTCATTCTTAGATAGTAGACAGCAATAACTATTCTCTGCATATATTTGGATCTCTATTACTGTATTTCCTTACATAGATTCCTAATAATATATGGACCTGTAGGGACAAATGTTATCTCTTAAGTCTTCTGAACATATTACACCAGTTGCACCAATTTAAACTTCCACTAACAGCATATAAAATTTCTTAGTTTGTTTTTGCTGGCATTGCTTATTGGTATTTTTTAACCTTGCCAACTTAATGAGGGAGAGGTTGTCTAATTAATTTTCAATTTGCATTCATCTGAGTCATATATTTACTAAAGTCAAACCTTTTTGTATAAAGTTTTGGCTTTTTCCCCTGTTTTTCTCTCTAGGTTTTCCACTGAGATAATCTCATTTTCTTATTCTTTTCTGGTGTGGATGTATGTGTATGTGCACATACATGTGTATGTACACTGACCACTGATTTATATATACATACTGACATACATTAAAGATATTCTTATGAACTTTTGTCCATTGTAATATCACATTTTTTTTGACATCTGCATTCACTTTATATGTTTTATGCAAAATATAATTTTATGTATTCAATCTATAAATCTTTCCTTTCTGATTTCTTCCTTTGATTATATGCTTGTACTTCCCTAGCCTATCATATTTATTTTTGAGAAGTTTACTTCCTAGTGTATCTCAAGTTCTTAGGTGCGCTAGGAGGGAGCATGATGAGCCCAAGACAATTCTGTTCCAGCAGAGTTCACTAAATATGTTTGATTCCACGTACAACTCAAGAATGTCAATCCAAGAATGCACACAATATGAAGGAACTGTCACCAAACTTCTGAGAAGAAATCAATCCCTGTCACTTGCTCTGTGCTGCTTCTGGAATCTTGAGGCACAGTAGGCAGAGACCAGGGTAGTGATGCCACCACAGCCTTCAGAGTAAGACTGGTGATGTCCACAGGATGTGTGTGGACTTCCATGGATTTTATTTTAAATGCGACTAACTGAAAAAGAATTCACTGGCTCACCTGCTTTGTCCAAATATATTAAGTCTTATCTATTTCAAGGCCAATTAGATAGTCTTTTCTTTTTGAAAAGTTTTCCTGCTTTTGATTTTTTCAGTATTTTTATATGGAAACTTTGAAATATACAAAAAAAGCAGAAAGAATAGTACAGCAAGCCTTGCACCCCTCAATCGTCTTATTATCCAAATTTAGCAATTATCAACTTACAGGAAATCTGTTTCATCTATTCCTACCCTCCTCCCCCAACACTCCTCCCACCATCTAGATTATGTGGAAGCAAATCCTACACCTTATCACTTCCTCTGGAAACACTTCAGGATGAGAAAGCCTTTAAAGGCCTTGCTTCTATTTAGCAAACAAGCCTGAAGTGTTGCTATGTAAGTCAATTGTTGCTGTTATATTTGCTAGGAAGCAGTGGAGGTCAATGTTCATGTTCACATTTTTTCTGTGTTTGTCATCTAACTGCAACCTGGATTCTCCACTGGAATTGTTTTTGCTACAGATTCAATGGTGACTTGTCCTTTGGAATGGGCAGGGGATTCCCTTCAAATGCCATATTCCACAGATGCTCAAGACCCTTATGCAAAATGGAATGCTGGCATACAAACTAGGCACATCCTCCCATATTCTTAAATCATCTCCAGATGGTTTATAAGATTGGGCATGAAGTAAATGGTATGAATACTGTATTAAATAATAAGGACAAGAAAAATATTCATGAATGTTCAGCACAGACGCAGTTTTTGATTAGAGGTTTGTTGAATACATGGCTACAGAACACACAGATACCAAGAGCCAACTGTGCTTCCTCCACATTTAACTCTATCACACCCTTCTCCTGGAAGCTCTTTCTCCTCTGGAGGACATGACTATCACTCTCTGGAGGCTCCCTCTCTCACACAATCAGTCTCTCTCTCTCTCTCTCTCTGTTTCTCACCCCCCCCACATTTCTGCAGCTCCACATGCTCACATGTCTGCAATGAGCTATGAACTGCCAACCTAACAAAGGCCAGTTTCCTCTCCACTTAAAAAGAGAATTCTTAAGAGCCTTTCTTTCTCTTTCTACAAATAATTGAAGCAGTTTATTCTTTATTTGAACAGAAAATAAAAATTACCTCAAGTATGGACATATAGGCAATCAGATTACCTCATCAAAGACTTTAGAAACAACATGCTTGTCCAGAACAGGAACATAGGTGGGACTGTGTGGCACGGCGGTCACAGACAAGGCATCCATGATGGTGAGTTTCTTGGCCACCAGGCTGTGTGTCTGGAGCCACTTTTCTGATGACATCTCTTTAGAGCTTAAGAACACAGATTGTGGGGTTTAAAAACTTGCAATAGGAAGGGTAAAAAACCAACAACATAACAAAACTGTCCTGTGAAATTAGAGCACTCACTTGTCATAAACTTGGCTCCCTTCTCCAGTCAATCTTATTGACAATTTGTCGTCCAGACACTCATTCATCAGCAGGAACCTCATTTCTGTGAAAGGGGAAATGGCAGTTGTGTATTTTCCTTATATGTGGGGTTTATATTAAAATGAAGAAGGATCTACTTGCTCAGTTCAATCGTGACTGAGGGCTAATAAATGGACCATATTTAGAGACCGTATCTTGACCTGTCAGAGTGGCTTCTCAGGCAATATTAATTTGCAATTTGCATTAAAGACCAAGGCACAGGTAATTATGACTCTGTCATTGTTTTGCTTATCTACCTCACCCTACATCTGTTGAGATCTCTCTCCATGAAAGAATCAGACATACTCATTCTCTCGCCAGAAAACACATTTTTAAAATGTTCAACGAGAACACCATTAACCAATGATTGTTCACTGTTGACTTCATTAGGGTCTCCCACAATTACAGAGGGCCTTGATCAACATTTTAGAGTCTGATAGTTTGTTCTGTGGTTCCTCAGCTCTATGTGGAAAACCAAAGACTGTTAGGTTCTATTTAAGTTCAAATTTTAACATTATTTGGGGTTTTACCAAATCTTTTTTTTTCTTTTTGGCGGTACTGGGGTTTGAACTCAGGGCCTCACGCTTGCTAGGCAGGTGATCTTACCACTTGAGCCACTCCACCAGCCCTTGGGGTTTTAAATGTACATACTTTTGTAAACTTGGATTTATAAATGGAAAAGAATATTATCCACTGAATGAGCAACATCTAGAAGGAGGGGTGTTTGGGTGTGAGCTGGTTAAATGCCTAAGAAATCATGTCCTATTCATCTTATCATAAGCTCTTTAAGGACTGTGGATATGGCTGATTGAGAAAATACAGGCTAATTGAGATTGAGAAAAAGATATCACACAGAACAGCACTGAAGAAAACGGCTTGATTAAGGTATGATGAGTGACAACAGGAAGACTGTCACTCATGTGCTTTCTACTACCTAGGGGATTGTGTACAACATGTGTGTTTGAGATTTATTATTTATCAACTATTTGAAATGTAGCAAGATACAATAGGACATAAGCTTTTTATTTTAAGAATAATAATTTTGACCAACAGTGAATATTGAGTCATGCTTTCCTCACATTTAGCCCCCAGAGTTTGAAAATTTAGACTTGAGAGGGGCTCACTGGGTAGTATCACCTGTCATGAAGAGATAAAAACAAACCCGCTATGAAGGATTAGAGTTTCAAAAAGCACAGCATGGCAAGCATTACCAATAACACAATAGTTTTGTGAGTCACAAGTGTGTTAAACACCCAAGCATGAGTAACACAAGTCTAGTCCTAAGAAAACTCAGCGTGCTGAAGCTGGCAGACCTGATTTACAAGGGAGTATTTGAATAGAAAGCAATCTGTGAGTATTCAAAATATCATTTGTTTTCCTCAAACATGGCTATCCCCAAGTCTTTGAGGAATAGCTATATTGGGCTAGAGGCTGGCCTGTGTTTCATGGGGTAGGGACCTTCTGGGCTTGCCTTTGTCACTCAGAAAAGTGTTCCAGCGTCTGGAGTTGGAGCGGCTGTCCTTCCTTTCACTGTCAGCAAAGCTCTTGAGGGTGGACATCTGACTTCTGAGGAGGCTGGTTTTGGTTGATTCTTTGGCATCGCAGGGAGACGGGTTAAAAGAATTTGGTGAGATGGAAGGAAATACTTTATTAGATACAATTATTTTGTTGGATCCTTAGAAAAAGAATGCAGCTTTAGTTTCTCAACCCTCAGAGGATGGTCCTGCCACAACTCAGTGCTTCAATATGGCTTGCTCCCTTTCTCTGAATTCAAGCTGTGACCCTCTTGGAAGAAATCCACTTCCAAGGTCATTCAGGTTGCTGACAGAATGGTTTCTTGCAGTTGCAGGACTGAGGTCCCCATTTCTTTACTGGCTCTAGGCCAGAGCCTTTCTCATCTCCTTAAGGCACTATATCACTTCCATGTGGCCCCACTATCTTTAAGTCAGCAATGGTGCAGTGCATTCTTCTCATGGTTCAAATCTCCCTGATTATCTTTTCTGCTACCAGCTGGAGAAAGCTCCTGATTTTAAGGTACTTCATGTGAGCACCCTGGGCCCACCAAGACAATGTTTGTCTTTAGGTCAATGCAGCGTAATCATGGGAGCGGTGTCTCATCACAACCAAAGGGTGCAGGGTTTAGGGTAGACATCTTTGGCAAGTCATTAAAAAATTCTGCCTACCTTTTCTATCCAGGCTTCTATTTACATCATGTTCTACTTTTTGTTGGGTCTCTTCAATTGGCAAGTAGACATTTTCCAAATATTGACATTTGGTCTGAGTATTTTAAGGGATTATGAGCCTATGACAAAATATCTTGATAACTTCTCATATCTGATAACACAAACACATTGATCAGAAATGTGTTTTGTGTTCTTCACAAGTTAGAGGCACAAGTACCATGGCTTTATGTAAGGATATGTGAATGAAATGTACCCATGTTTTCAGTGAGAGGGGACTCATTCTTTCCTACAAGAAGTTAGACACTGGAGTGATGATTAGTTAGTAACCTGCAAATGGTCTATCTTTTGCACAGAACAGCAATACCAATGGTCTCTATACATGAAGAATGGAAACTGGAGCATGAAATTCATTGTTTTTCTAGGCAACAAAAGGGTGAGACCTGTCTTGACAACCTCTGTAACCAGGAATTTAGAAAGATAATTTTTCTTGGGATCTATGTCTGTGAGCACAAGAGACTGATGATCCACATAAGAGAGACAAGTCACAGCTGCTGACCACACTGGTAGGCCGCCTTGACCAAAATCACTAGGCAGAAACAGTCACATACACAATTGTGCCAGCAAGCCCTCAATGTCCCCAAACATAAACATGGTACTAGTCCCAAACCCTGCAAATACTGAATAAAAACATTTATTTATATGTGAATTCAAGCATTTAACTACTCCCAAAACTGTCTAGTCACCACATTTCATCACTCTTCTCCATTAAAAATGGAGATGAAATAAAAATCCAGCACAGGGTTGCCCATCAATACCAAGGATCCTAAATTTAAGTGGAATGATGAAAGTGACAAAAGGCCATTAAAATGTTTAGAATAAGTATCAAAAACAGCTGTAGCAAAACTTATGTTTACTGGGGTAGGCAGGCAGGACTGGAAAAAGGGATGAGACACACAAGTGGCCTGGTATGTTTGTCCTGATGGGCCTTAGACTCTCTTCTCTTAAAGAGATATCAGAAACAATGAGACAGCATGCAAGAGCAACAGCGATTGACCATTTGAGGAATTCTTGGGTCCCTGCGAGGTAAAGGCTTGCTCTCTTCTCCACCTAGAGACATAGAGACATCTAAGGGACAGCATTGGAGAGGCCACCACAACCCTCTCCCTGTGGGACATCTAGCATCTGGTCTGCAGAGACCTCTGCTGCCATCTCAAGTGGTACCAGCAGGGAACAGTAGGAAACCCAGGGACACCAAAAAAAAAAAAAAAAAAAAAAACCAAAAAAAAAACAAGTACCAAAATAATTCTGCAAAGGCTATGAAAATTAAATTGCCCACAGCAGCAGGCCAAGGCCTATATGCTAAATTTAAACAGTGACTACTTTTCAAAATAAAAGACTGAAATAGGACCCAGTATTGCTAACATAACAGACAAAATGCCTGTAGTATTATACCAAATAACCACTCATTCTAAGAACTAAGAAAATCATGCATTAAATAAGAAAAAACACCAAATGATGACAACTCCAAGGTGAGTCAGAAATTAGAATTATCTGACAAGGATTTCAAAGAAATATAAAAATGCTTTAAGGATTTAATTTTTGAAACAAATGAACAAATAGAAAATAAGAACAAGTAGAACCAAGACTGAAAAAGAAAAAGAGAAGATAGATACAAAGCACTCTTATTAATAATTGAGACAGGAACATTGCAACAGGTCTTGCAGTGACTAAAGAGGTAATAAAGGAATATAGTGAACACTTTGCCTCATACATTTAACAAATTAGGAAAAATGGGCCAATTTCTCAAAACCCACAAATTTTAAAAATGCAGATGAAATAGAAGAATAATCTTAAAACCATTACAGAAAGCTGGGCATAGTGACATACAGCTATAATTCCAGCATTTAGGTGACTGAGGCAAGAGGATCATGAGTTCAAGGCCAGCCCATGATACATAGTAAGACCCTGTCTCAAATCAAATGTGGAGAAATTGAATTCATAATAAAAACTTTCCTGAAAAAAAGAAACCTCTAGATCCAAATGGTCCCATGATAATTTTACCAAACATTCAAAGAATTACACCAGTTTTTCCAGACATAGAAGAAGAAGAAATTTTCTCAACTTATTTGATGAAAACAGTATTAGCTTAATACTAAAATTGGATTAAGTATTAAAAAAAGAAAGGAAAGAAAATCTTGGACTCCAAACTGATCTGTAGATTTAATGTAATTCCTAACAAAATTACAAGGTTTTTTTTTTTTTTAGAGGTACTGGGATTTGAACTCTGGGCCTCATGCTTGCTAGGCAGGCACTCTACCACTTGAGTCACTCAAGGGTGTTTTCTTAAAGAAACATAGATGAACATAGCAATGTGTACAGAAACTTTAGGCCCTAGAATAACTAAAAATAATTTTGAAAAAGAAGAATAAAGCTGAAGGAATCACTGTACCTCACGTTCAGACTTTCCATGTAACTACATTGATCAAGACCATGTGGGATTGGCAGAGGAACAGACATATGGATCAATGGAGCAACACAGAAACTAGATTCAACCCACACAAATAAGCCCTATTGATTTTGACAAAAGTGCAAAATTAATTCAGTGAACTGCTGCTTTTTAAATAAATGGTGTTAGAGAAATAATTATAGCACTCCCCCTCCATAAAAGAAAGAAAAGGAGAGAGGGAAGAAGGAAGGAAGGAAAGAAGGATGCAGGAAGGAAGGGAGGGAGGGAGGAAAGGAGGGAAAGAATAAAATAATTATGACATAAACTTCAAATCTTATACAAAAATGAACTTGAACAGATCATGGACTTTAATGTAAAGCAGAAAACTATAAAACTTCTAGAAAAAAATAAAACCCTCAAGAATTAAGGCTAGTTCATTAGATTTGACAGTGAAAGTGGGATCAATGAAAGACTGACAAATCAGATTATCAAAATTAAAATCTTTTGCTTGAAATTAGAGATAAGGGCAAAATAGTTTCTGCTGGGTATTGAGGGGGGGAGCGGGAGGGGGTGGAGTGGGTGGTAAGGGAGGGGGTGGGGGCAGGGGGGAGAAATAAACCAAGCCTTGTATGCACATATGAATAATAAAAGAAAAATGAAAAAAAAAAATAAAATAAAATCTTTTGCTTGACAAAAGCCCCTGTTAAGAAGATAAAAAGACAAGCTACAGACTAGGAGAAAAGATTTGCAAACAGCATATCTGACAAGGGTCTAGTACATAGAATATGTGAAGAACTCCTAAAACTCAACAGTAAAGAACAAATCATTCATTTAGAAAATGGGCAAAACACATGCACAGACATTTCACTAAAGATGATCTACAGATGTCCAATAAGTACATGAAAAGAACCATGAGCAATTAGGGAAATACAAATTAAAACCACCATGAGGTATCACATAATCCTCAGAATGGTTAAAATTAGAAAACAGTGACAGCATCTCATGCCAGTGATATAGAGTAATGGGACGGATCACTCACTCATTGTGTGAAATGGCAGTTACCATGGGAAACAGTTTGGCAAAATATCCCTATTTGCAGACAATATGATCCTATACCTTAAAGACCCAAAAAAACTCTACTCAAAAGCTCCTAGACACCATCAACAACTATGGCAAGTTAGCAGGATATAAAATCAACATAGAAAAATCATTAGCATTTCTATATACTAATAATGAACAAACTCAAAAAGAATATATGAAAACAATTCCATTTACAATAGTCTCAAAAAAAAATCAAACACCTAGGAGTAAACTTAACAAAGGATGTAAATGACCTCTACAAGGAAAACTATAAACTCCTGAAGAAAGAGATTGAGGAAGACTATAGAAAGGGGAGAGATCTCCCATGTTCATGGATTGGTAGAATCAACATAGTAAAAATGTCTATACTCCCAAAAGTAATCTACATGTTTAATGCAATTCCCATCAAAATCCCAATGACATTCATCAAAGAGATTGAAAAATCTACCATTACATTTATTTGGAAACACAAGAGACCACAAATAGCCAAGGCAATACTCAGCAAAAAGAACAACTCTGGAGGTATCACAATACCTGACTTCAAACTATATTACAAAGCAATAACAATAAAAACAGCATGGTACTGGCACAAAAACAGACATGAAGACTAGTGGAACAGAATAGAGGACCCAGATATGAAGCCACACAACTATAACCAACTTGTCTTTGACAAAGCACTAAAAATATACAATGGAGAAAAGACAGCCTCTTCAATAAAAACTGCTGGGAAAACTGGTTAGCAGTCTGCAAAAAAACTAAAACTAGATCCATGTATATCACCCTATACCAATATTAACTCAAAATGGATCAAGGATCTTAATATCAGACCCCAAACTCTAAAGTTAGTACAGGAAAGAGTAGGAAATACTTTGGAACTAATAGGTATAGGCAAAGACTTTCTCAATGGAACCCCAGCAGCACAGCAACTAAGAGATAGCATAGATAAATGGGACTTCATAAAACTAAAAAGCTTCTGCTCAACAAAAGAAATGGTCTCTAAACTGAAGAGACCACCCACAGAGTGGGAGAAAATATTTGTCAGCTACACATCAGACAAAGGACTGATAACCAGAATATATAGGAAACTTAAAAAACTAAACTCTCCCAAAATTAATGAACCAATAAGGAAATGGGCAAGTGAACTAAAGAGAACTTTCTCAAAAGAAGAAATTCAAATGGCCAAAAAACACATGAAAAAATGCTCACCATCTCTAGTAATAAAGGAAATGCAAATTAAAACCACACTAAGACTCCACCTCACCCCTGTTAGAATAGCCATCATTAGCAACACCACCAATAACAGGTGTTGGCGAGGATGCGGGGAAAAAGGAACCCTCTTACACTGCTGGTGGGAATGCAAACTAGCACAACCATTCTGGAAAAAAATTTGGAGGCTTCTTAAAAATCTAAACATAGATCTGCCGTATGATCCAGCAATACCACTCTTGGGAATACACCCAAAAGACTGTGACACAGGTTACTCCAGAGGCACCTGCACACCCATGTTTATTGCAGCAGTATTCACAATAGCCAAGTTATGGAAACAGCCAAGATGCCCCACTATTGATGAATGGATTAAGAAAACGTGGTATTCAAAAATCGTATGTTCTCCCTCATATGTGGACATTAGATCAAGGGCAGACACAACAAGGGGATTGGACTTTGAGCACAGGATAAAAGCTTTAGCACTCAAGGGAGGGGTGAGGATAGGTAAGACACCTAAAAAAATTAGTTAGCATTTGTTGCCCTTAACGCAGAGAAACTAAAGCAGATACCTTAAAAGCGACTGAGGCCAATAGGAAAAGGGGACCAGGAACTAGAGAAAAGGTGAGATCAAAAAGAAATAACCTAGAAGGTAACACACACGCACAGGAAATTAATGTGAGTCAATGCCCTGTATAGCTATCCTTATCTCAACCAGCAAAAACCCTTGTTCCTTCCTATTATTGCTTATACTCTCTCTACAACAAAATTAGAAATAAGGACAAAATAGTTTCTGCTGGGTATTGAGGGGGTGGGGGGGAGAGGAAGGGGGGCGGAGTGGGTGGTAAGGAAGGGGGTGGGGGCAGGGGGGGAGAAATGACCCAAGCCTTGTATGCACATATGAATAATTAAAAAAAAAAAGAAAACGTGGTATTTATACACAACGGAATTTTACTCAGCCATGAAGAAGAATGAAATCTTATCATTTGCAGGTAAATGGATGGAACTGGAGAACATCATCCTGAGGGAGGTTAGCCAGTCCCAGAAAACCAAAAATCGTATGTTCTCCCTCATATGTGGATTTTAGATCAAGGGCAAATATAACAAGGGGATTGAACTTTGATCACATGATGAGGCGAGAGCACACAAGGGAGGTATGAGGATAGGCAAGAAATAAAAAAAAAATAAAACCAAGGTAGCATTTGATGTCCTCAATGCAAAGGAACTAAAGCAGAAACTTTAAAGCAACTGAGGCCAATAGGAGAAGGAAACCAGGAACTAGAAATAAGGTTGGTTTGCAAAAAATTAATTTAGAATGTAACACATATGTACAGGAAAGCAATGCGAGTCAATTCCCTGTATAGCTATCCTTATCTCAACTAGTAAAAACCCTTGTTCCTTCCTATTATTGCTTATACTCTCTCTTCAACAAAATTAGAGATAAGGGCCAAATAGTTTCTGCCTGGTAGCGAGGGAGAGGAAGAGGGTGGGAGAAAAGGGAGGTGGCAGGGGAAGGGGGGAGAAATGACCCAAACAAAATTGTATGTACATATGAATAAAAGAAATAAAAAAAAGAAAGAAAACAGTTTGACAATTCACTTTTTAATAAAACATTCAATTGCCATGTGACTTGGCAATTGTACTCTTGGTGATTCATCCTAAATAAATGAAAACTTACATGTACATAAATATGTACATGATTGTTCATAAACTGCTTTATTTGTAATAGTCAAAGTTGGAAATGTTTCAGATGTCTTTCAACAGATAAATTGTTAAACCAACAGTTGTCCATCTACCTCCTGGAGTACTACTCAGCAATAAAAAGGAATGAACTATTGATAAATGTTAAAACTTGATAAATTTTTAAAAAGCCAATCCCAAAAGGTTATGAACTATGATTATATTTATATAACATTTTTGAAATGGCAACATTTTAGAAATACAGAACTTAATGATTCCCAAGGGTTAGGGAAGGAAATGCAAGGGGGGGAGTGTGGTTATAAAAGGGCAGCATGAAGAACCCTTGGGATGAGGGAATTCTTCTGTATTTTGAGTGTCTTGGTGACAACTGAAACATAGACAGATTACTGGATACACACACAAATGAGTACAACAAAACTGGGACAATATGAATAAAATCTGAGGATTGCATCAATATCAACATTTTAGTTTCAATTCGTAATGTTAGTTCATAATATTTTGGGGAAGTATGGTACAGGATGGGTTTATGGGATCATATCAACATATAGTTATCTTAATAAAAATTTCAGTTAAAAAACCCTACAAAAGGCTGATTATAGCTCAGTGATAGAGTGTTTGCCTAGCATGCACAAGACCCTGGGTTTGATTCCCAGCACTGCGAAAAACAAACAACAAAACCCCACAGATTTAGGGCTTCTAAAAATACTATGTGGGTTTGGTTTTAGCCTCTCTTGTTGAAGGAAAACCAGCAGAATCAAGTCATTTTGTTCACTGATACCTGCATGGAGGACTTTCTTTTTCTGAGTTTTTTGATTCAGAAGGTCCCATGGTCCTTTCAGTATATTTACAGGTGAGGTAACCGTTGATTCAACATCACATTGAGGTTTTGCACATTTTTCTGGGGTTGAAACCATGGAAGAGATTTCCTTTTGATGCCTGTTTTAATTTAGATAAAAGGTAGACCCAAAAATAGAATGGAGAACAAAAACAAAACGGAAGAAAAAAAAGATTTTCATCAAGAAGGAAGAGGTAAATCAAAACATTCATGTTGAGCATTACAAACTTAGAGAAATGACCTTTCCCTATTTGAGTTAATATAAAGGTGTGGCTCCCATCACACATCTGTTTCTTCCCAGATGTGTGACCTCATTCAAGTTGTTCAACCCTCTCTAAGCTTCTTCACGTTTGTCATCTGTGTCACAGGAAACTTCTTCACCTGTGCGTCAACTACATAGAGCCGAAGTGATGATTAATGGGTTACATTACAGAAACCCATTTCTCTAACCAAAGTGTCAACCAGGAAGCTCTTATAAAAGCAAAAGAAAGGATCTCCTGTCTTGGACCTCCCATGCCTGTAAGATATCATAGTAAGCCATTCTGGAGAAGATCTGGGGCCAGAGCGACCCAGAAATTCTGGAATATTTTCCAAAACATTTCTTTCTCTGAAGCTCTGAACACAGCAGCCACAGAAAGGAAAGTCTCCAGAACAAGCTCCTACTTCAACACTGTTAAGTGCACTCTTCCTCCTTCACCAGCCTCCCACCCCACTCCCACTCCAGGAGTGCCCACCCCACATTCTGTAGTCCTTTGTGTGCCTGTATGCACACTGTGCAATCCGGTGGCAGAAAGGACCAGGCTTACATTCATCTGTGCATCTCAGGTCTCCTGGTGCATGATTTGTTCTCAATAGATCTTTCAAGAAAGATTTGGGGGCTGGTAATTTTTTTCACCTAATGGAAAACTAGAAAAAGCCAGCTTATTGTTAGCTATAGCTAAGTGAGAGATTAAACTTTTAAAAAAATGTTGTTTAATTAAAAGAAAGTATGGAATCATGGTATCTATAGAATGATGTGATGCTTTTTACTCTTTCCTTTATATTAAGTTAGAGCTCTTATTATGTGCCAAGCACATCCTCATTTAATCCACCCAGGGGCCCTGTCACTGCCATTACTGCCATGTTTAGATGAGGGATCTGAAGCTTAGTGAAGTTAAGTAATTTTCCCAAAGTCACTTATGATGTAATAGTTGGAATATTGAAACGTTTCTCTGCATGACTTCAGAACTGCTCCTTCTAGCCCTCAAAAAACAAACAAAACAAGCCTGCATCTATTATTAAAACTGCAAGCACAGTCAACTGACCAAGTCAACTTCCAAGCAACAGCTGGTCACTTTGTCCTGAGATTTTAAGTTTGATTGAACAAGGGGAAGAAGACATCTAGGGCACTGATTGAAAGTATGGAGAAGGTAACTTATACTTAAGTGATGCTTATTGGTTTAAAGTTGCCAAATTTAGAAGATCTATTTGTGCTTTCCCAAATTCTTAAAAAGTAATACAGTAAGATCTTATTGTAACATGGCCCATCACATTCACCTCTTTTTTCCTAATTCCAAACCATGCTCTGTCCTCGCCCCCAGCCCACATTCATGCTTGGCTTGTTAATAAGAGGACAGTAAATTTTGATGAGCAATAAATTATGATTGATACGTGTATTATCATGCCTTCACTTTGCTATCACTCTTTTAATTAAAAAGACATCCTCCTGGCATGGTAGGTTGGGACACTTGAAGATATCTATACAAACAACCTTAATCATTTTAATAAAACTTGACACATTTCTTGAGTGTCATTTAAACTACTAATTAGAAACGTATTATAATACAAGCTAGAGAAAGGCCCCTAGAAGTCATCTATCCTAAACCCACCTCCACAGCTGTCATTTTAAAGATGAAGAAACAGACTGGCAGTGATGGAGAGGAGCAGAAAGAAGTTAAGGCATCCGCGAGGTCACACTCTGTGACCTGGTCCACCTGGTTGCTGAATTAATTCTCCTTCATGGCACAGCACATTCTCTGCCCTGGCTCTGCTTGGGTTTGGGGCGCCTGTCCACTCTGGTGTTGCATATGTGGCTTCCTCAACTCCATTGTTATAAACTACTAATTCTCCTTCCTTAAAAATAATCCTAACTTAATCACACTATGTGGTTCTTTCACTGAAAGCTCCCAAAGCGTTTCAGGAAGCAGGTTGTCAGAACAAGCAGAGCATCTGAGAGGACCCTCAATGAAGGGGGATCAGGCAGCTAGCTCACTCACTTGCTCTCTCCTTCCTTTTCTTCATGGTGCCACCAGTCCATGGCCAAGCACTCAGAATAAAGCGTTTGCACCTTCTCCAGATCACTATACCCCTGTTCCATTTCCTGAATCAAAAGAGTCAGGTCTTCATTCTGCTGAAATGAGAAGTAGATACCTCATGAGATTGCACAAGAGTTCAAATTTCAAACACTTTGAACTGAAAACCAACTGCAACAGGAAGAGAGAATCTAAGGAACGTCATGGGATTCTCATATTATTCCATGTCTATCCAGCTTTATGGACATATAATTCACGTAAAAGAAACTGAACATACATAAAGTATACTGCTTGAAAAGTCTTGACATTCACACGTGTGAAATCATTATGATCAAGGCAATGAGTATGTCTCTCGCTCCCCAAAAGTTCCCTTATGTAAACCTGCCCTTCTTTTTGCAATGCCTCTCCACAGTTCCCAATGAACTACTCATCAATGTTCTGACACTACACATTAGTTTGACTTTTCTGTAAATGGAATCATACAATAAATACTCTTCTTGTACGACTTCCTTTACTCACGCAGTTATTTTGAGATTTACTCACATGTAGTGTGAATCAACAGATCATTTTGCTGCTGAGTGTTCTATTGTATATTAAATATCAAAATGTATTTATCCACTCACTTATTGATAGACAGTTTAGTTTTTTCCAGGTTTGGGCTATTATAAATAAAATATGGACATTTGTGTTCAAGTCTTTGTATGGACATTTTCCATTGATCTTGGGTAAATGAGGAGTGGAATAGTTGTATCATATGAATGGTGATGTCAAGCTTTTGGAGAAACTATCGAAGTGTTTTCCAAAATGGTGGCATCAGTTTGCATTCTACCAGCGATATATGAGAGTTTTAGTTCCTACTGGTATAGTCAGTTATTTAAATTTTAGGCACTCAAATACTGTGCAACAGTGTCTATTCATGCTTTTTATGTGTGTTTCCCCAGAGGCTGATAATCTAGAGCACCTTTTCATATCCTTACTGACCATGCATGTATCATTTTTGTTGCTGCTGTTTTGGTTTGGGGGGTATTTTTTATTTTGTTTGTTTTTTGGTTTTGGTTTTTGAAGGTCTGACTACTTACCCCAGGCTGGTCTTGAACTCTCAATCCTCCTGCCTCTCACTTCCAAGGATTAGGATTACAGATGTATACCACTACTCCCAGTTCATGAATATATCCTTTTTGAAAAGGTTCCTGTTTACACTTTTGCCCACACTTTGAGTTTCACATTATAGAGTTTTGAGAGGTCATTTGAATATTCTGGATACAAGATCCTTATTAGATACACAATTTGAAATTTTTTTCTCCTACTACACAGCTTTTATTTTTATTATTGAAGCATTACCTTTAAGATAAGAAATTTTTAATTTTGTTTGATTCCAAAATTTATCAGTTTATTGGTCTGTGGATTATACTTTTGATATACTATCTTAAAATATCTGTCTACACAAATTCACAGATGTTTTTTCATATATTGCACTCTAGAAGGAGAATAAACATAGTTTTACATTTAGGTCCATGAACCATTTTGAATTAATTTTAAGTATGATATGTGGTTTAGTGTAAAGTTCATTTATGTGCATGTGGAGTTTAATTGTTGGGGGGAAAATGGGGAGATAGGACTATCCTTTATGAACTTGCCTTTGTACCTTTTTCAAAAATCAGTTGTTCATATATGTGCCAGTCTATTTCTTGTTTTTTCTCTCCTGTTCTGCTGTATCTTTATGCTAATCCTGCCCTATCTTGATGGCTATTGCTTTAAAATGAGTCTTGATATCAGGTGGTGTTAGTCCCCAACTTTGCTCTTTTCAAAGTTGTTTTAATGATTTTAAATCTTTTGCATTTCCGTAGAAACAGTTTGTTAAATTTTACAAAAAATCCTGCTGGGTTTTTTATTGGGATTGTGTTGAGTCAATAGATCCACTGGGAAAGAATGGACAATTTAACATACCTCTCAACAGTATTTTGTGGTTTTCTATGTAAAGGCATTGTACATATCTTGACTGATGTATCTCTATAGAGTTGTTATTTATGATTCTCTTATGAATTATTTTTATTTAAACTTTTGATTGTTTTTTGCTAATATATAGAGAACAAATTCATTTTGTATATTTTCCCTTATAACTTATAATTTTGCCAAATTCAGTAATTAGTTGCAGTAGCTTCTTTGTACATCCTATAAGATTTTCTACATAAATGACAGTTTTGAAAATACAGTTTTGCTTCTTTCTTTCCATTCTGGATGCTTTTTTCTTCCTGTTTTTGTTGTGCTAATTAAAGCCTCCATTACAATGTTGAACAGGAGTAGTGAGAACATGGCTTGTAATTTTCCTGATATCAGGAGGAAAGCATACAACTTTTAACATTAAAGTATGATGTTAGCTATAGGTTTTTCATAAATGTTGTGTATCAGAGGTATATTCTATGCATATCTTGCTGAGAACTTTTATTAGAAATGTATGATGAATTTGATTTTTAAAAGTTTTTTCTGTATAGACTGAGATGACTATAGCTTTTTTTTTGTGGTACAGGTGTTTGAACTCAGGGCCTCACACTTGCTAGGCAGGTGCTGTACCACTGGAGCCACTCTGCCAGCCCCAGACTTTTTTTTTTTAAGTAAGTGTGCTAAAATGGTGAGTTATGTGTTGATTTTCAAATGTTAAGCCAGTCTTGTGTTTCTGGGATAAACCCAACTTGGTTCTAACATATCAAACTTTTAATACATTACCATCTTTGTCTTTGACCTGTTAAAATTTGTTTATATTGTTTACATCTCTATGCATGGGAAAATAAATTCCTTTTCTTATAATGTTTTTGTGAGGTTTTGGTATTGGGTTAATGTTAGCCTCATAGAACGAGTTGAGTAGTCTCTCCTTTCAAATTTCTGGAAGAGTTTGCATAGAATTTATATTTTTCTTTGTTTTGTGGTTCTGGGAATCAAACCTAGCACTCTACCACTGAGCCACAACCCAGCCCTAGAATTTATATTCTTTTCTTCTTAAATGTTTGGTTTAAATCAGCAGTGAAGCCATCAGGGATTGAGGTCTCCTTTGTGGAAAAGTTTTTAGCTATGAATTTAATTATTTTGATAGATGTAGGGCTACTTCCATTTTATTTGAATGTCACTTTTTATTCTTTGAAATATATGTTCAATAAACCAAGTATTGGGTAATAAAGTAATTAAATAATTAGGGGTTTTGCTCGTTTGTTGGTTCTTGCAGTACTGGGGTTTGAACTTAAGAGCCTGTGCTTGCTAGGCAGGGGCTTTACCACTTGACACTTAAGTCATGTTCCCAAGCCTTTCTGCTTTAGTTTATTTTTCAGATAGGGTCTTGAACTTTTGCCCCAGGCTGTCCTCATATCAAAATTCTCCTACCTCTGTCTCCTGAGTTGCTGGGATTACAGGCATGTGTCACCACATCTAGCTAAATATTTAATTTTTAAGGAAACTACCAAATTATTTTTCAGTGTGACTGGGCCATTTTACATTCCCGCCAGCAAAGTATTAGTGAACCAGTTGCTCTTCGCCATTGCCAGCAGTGATAGCTCATGGTGGTTTAGTTGGCATTACTTTAAGACTAATGATGTTGAAGATATGCTTATTTGCCATCTGTGAATCCTCTTCAATGGAATCTTTGCATACATTTTGCCTATTTTCTGATTTAATGTTTTGTCTTTAACTGCTGAGTTGTGAGAACTCATCATATATTCTAGGTATAAGACCTTTTTTCTGTGTTTTCAGGTACTCTCTACAAGTGTGTAACTTATCTCTTCATCCTCTTAACAGGATCTTTCACAGAGCTAAAGCTTTTAAATTTGAAGATGTCTAACTTATTAAAACTCTTTTTATGGTACTTTTTATATACCAGGCATTTGGTATCAGGACTAGGAATTCTGCACTTAGCTCAGCCCATCACATTCTTACCTGACCAGCCTCCTGAGGAATAGGGTTCTTGTAGCCAAAGTGATAAGAATGGAACTCGCCTCCAGTCAAAGAAGCAAGCTCTTTCAAAAATCCATTTGCAGTCTCATCACTGTAACTGAAGGAGATGGTATAAATAGGAATTGTTTGAAAAACTTTGACTTGGTTGATCACTGTTTCAGGTGGCTGAAATGATAAAAAAAATACAGATAGGAAAAGAAGAAGAGAAAGAAGAAAAATAAGCTGTGTAAACCTTTACCATTTGCCATAGATGGTGAAATTCTTAAATACTAATTCCTTGTATAGTGGTGAGCAGCGTTCTATAAATGTGTCAATTCAATTCAGTAAACAAACACTGCCAGACAGACAGTACAAAGACCCTTGCCCTCTGAGGTCACACACTCTGATGAGGAAAAGAAGCTAGGAAAAAGATCTGTCTGACCAAGTCACCGACTTTAGGTGCACCTAAGTTTAGAGCCTATGCTGTTAAGGTGTTGGGATGAGCTTTTAGACCTCTTAAAGTGCTTTGGCCAAAACCCATGGGTAGAATATTCTGGCTATTGGGATTCCAGAGTGGGCCCTTGGAGTCTCAGTGTGGCTTCAAAAACATCTCCACCAAGAGAGTATTTCACAGCTTCCGTGTGCTATGGGCATCTTGCTTCCCACAGAGACTGAAGGAAGAAACATTTATTAAAAGGCCTTCCTTATGCTAGGAATTTAGTTTGGGGTCTACACTCCTGGTTAATTCTCACAAGCATCTTGTGTGGTAGTTACAAAAAGAATGATCATTTGCCCATCTATATCCATTTCTCTTCCCCATTTATATTGTCAGAGCCCTGGTTTTCTTTCCATGGCAGCAATGTACCTAGGTAAAAAAACAACACAAATAAATAATGACAATACACACACACACACTCTTTACCTTCTTATATATTTCTGCAGCTAGAGATGGCCAATGAGATAGGCAGAAGTCCTCAGGGAGAGATTTCCTTTCTCCAATCAAAAAATAGAGACTTACAAGGAAAGAAACTAACGTCCTTCCCCTTCTCCTTCAATGGGAAATGGCCCTACTCCTGGAAGGAGAGCAGCCAAATTGTGACCATGAGGGTGGAAGTAATATACAAAGGTAGTGGAGTGTGAAGACAAAGGAAGCATGCTTTCTAGGAAACATTCTAGTAACTGTACAACCTAGACTAGTTAACACTGGACTTAGCTAACACTGCAGTTAGGACTATCTCTTGGTAAAGGTCAATTCTCAGCAAACGACTCTCAGGAAAGATTTGCCCTACCATCTTCCTAACCATCACCACAGCCCAGCTGACAGCCATTAGAGATGATATCCAATTATCCTGGTCCCCTTCCTCTGGGCTTCTCAGTGTCAGGTATCTCTCTTTGATGACCTCACTTGTTGGCTCCTTCAACCAGTTCCTATACTCTACCTGTAGCTCCTACCCTTTGACCTTTAACATTTCCTCATAGAGTTTTCCACTGAGCCCTGGAAAGACGGGGTGATTAATGAGAGGGGATTCTGGACTCACCACTGGCTGGCCCTGGGCATATCACACCTTGCCAAGGAGGGCACTGGTTAAAAGGTCCCCCAGCACATGATCTCATGTAAACCATAAATTATGCACAGACTATCTCTGCACCCAGCTCCAGCCTCAAGTCTGCACTTACCCATAAGTTTATTTCTCCCTGACCTTCAGCTGGTTTCCTAACTAAACACCAGCCTAACCTAGCTGAAGAGCCCATTCCTCTCATCCAGTGCAATAATGGAGCAAAGCCCCTAGTGCTATCTCCTCTTCCTTCAGCTCAGCTTCCCTTTCTGAGAACTTTCTAAGTGCTAGATACTAAAAGCTCTACTTGCATCCTTCCTACTATTGCTATTGCTAGTCTCATTTCTTACCAGAGACTTCCAGCCTCTGCCCATCATCCCCACATGCCAGACTAGAGACTGACCTAAATTCTGCTAATTTGATAGACACAGTGTCAACCAGGAACTTCTCCTGCATTGACTTATCACTGAGATATTGGGGAAAGAAGAAAAGGAACATTGACTCAGTACTGACTGTATGGGTGCTAGGTACTGTGAGCAGCTTTTCCACCTTTTCATATGCTACCTGGCATCATATATTTATTTGCTCATGGCTGCACTCTGCATTAACATATAAGCTTCCCTGAAGGCAGGCACCTTGCCTATCTTGCTCACTTCTGTATCCCCAAGCTGATAGCCATGCCCTGCTACCAAACAAGGTACTCAGTAAATATCTGTGGAATGCCTTCAGTGAGAACACCATCTCATTTACTCCTCATGGCAATCCTGGGAGGCTGAGGAAACCCACATTAGAGAACAGTTGACTAAGGTCATTCAGATGGACAGTGCTGGGGGTGAACTTCTAGCCCAGGTTTCTATCTGTAAGCAATTTCTATCACTGCATGCAGTTATAGAGTGAGAACATATGAGAGACCATTGGGTGTATCACTGTAAGCAACACCCAGCCCTGAATGGCCCCCTTGTGCTAAGCTGGCATGATGTTCCAGTGCCCCATACGGTGTTAGAGAGCTGGGCAGAGAGGACGGAGTGCCTCTCCCGGGCAGAGCAAGCTTCGTTCCTGCAACGGGAAAGAGCCACACCTGTCCTCTGCCCCTGAGGATTCCTTTAGCTAGTTTACAACTTCAGAGCTTTGAAGAGCTCTGACTCTTTCCAACCATTTATTCTAGGAGCTTCCCAAGGCTGTGAAGTGGAGGGTCCACACCCTGTCTAGCCCCTGTACAGCAGCGATGATGATTGTCCTAGCCCGGGACTCCCCTATACACCCCTGACAGAGGCTGCCTGCTCTGTGAGAAGTATACAAGGCAAGCAGCACAGAGGAGCAGCCAGAGCTCCTTCCACCTCAAGCGTCAACCTGGAGCAGCAAGAACACAGGGAGCCAGTCTTCACACGGCCTAAGGAGGTCTGTTTGTGCAGGAAGATGGTCCCGGGCCAGTCCCATCCCCCGGCCCTCCCAGACTCAGGCCAGGCTTTAGCTATTACTTTATGTTTAGAATGATTCAGATGTCTTCATCATGTCATTTTCATGATTCCTGCCAGGGCAAGTCTATGACTTTGAAGAAGTCCTAAAATGACCACAGCCAAAGCTGGGTTAGGCTTCTCCTAGAAGAGCCCTCCTATGTCTGTGCCCTCCAAAGGACACCTATCTAATGTGAATCTGATTCCATTTTCATGAAGACTGATATTCTAGAACCCCTGTAAGCTGGTTAATTTTGAAGACTTATGTTACTTTTTAACACTGGCCTGGCCACTTAATAAACAAACAGTAAGCTGACATCCTTGCAACCAAATCCAGAATAACATTTTTGTGTGTTCTTTCAAGTAGAGAATTCTGCTGAATATTTTGAGTAATAACATTGGTCTTACACATTCAGTTCCTTCAAAGTTGGTGAAAATTCAAAGACAAATGGAGACTGAGTGGCACATCTTAGTATCTTTAACTAGAACATGAATCTCTGATATCCATTTGCTTTATTGGGAGGATCTAAGAGGTAATTCAAAACAAACAGATGTATGTATAAGAAGGCAGATATACATACAAAAATCCTCAAGAGTTTATAAATTGTTTTGGGTAATTTATATACTTCTGATTCCAACTATTATTCATATCCTGAGTTCTTCATCTTTAAATGGACCATAGATTTTCTGAGGATCTAGTAGAAGCTATAAATCTTCAGAAAAATGTATGCTCATGTTTTGTGTACACTATCGGGGATTCCAGACTCTAGGTAGTCTATGAAGGGCTGTAGATTGAGAATCCTTCTCAACATATTGCCTGTAGGAGTGTGACTTGGGATAGTGTCCTGGGGGAGTTATTTGCAGTATCTATCAATATGCATAGTTTATTTTTTTTAACTCAAGGCCTTGTACTTCCTAGGCTGGTTCTCCACCACTTGAGCCACACCTCCAGGTCAAAACATATACCTTTTGACTGAGTCTACTTCTCTACTCACACACATGCAAAATGATGGATGTATACAGTTCCTTTTTCAATATTATGCATAATGGGACAACTGGGAACAACCCAAATGTCAATCTCTACAGGTCTGGCTAAATGATAGAAACATATAAAAGAATGAGGAGCTGGGTACTTGTGGCTCATGCCTGCAATCCTAGCTACTTGGCAGGCTGAAATCTGGAGGTTTGTGGTTCGAGGCCAGCTTGGGTAAATAGTTCACAAGACATCCATCTCCAAAATAACCAGAGCAAAATGGCCTGAAGGTGTGTCTCAAGTGGTAGAGCACCTGTTTTGCAAGCACAAAGTCCTGAGTTCAAACCTCAGTCCCACAAAAAAAAGAGCTTATTAAAAATAAAAAGGTCTCATGTTCAGATGACTCTGAAATTGGAATCCCTAATCCATCTTTCTCAAATCATATTCAACCTCAAATCTCTGGGGACTTCTGAACATCCAAGTACCACAAATGCACAAACACAGCTTCCTTCATCAGCACTCCCCCTAAGCTTGCTCCTTGAAATTTAAATTTCAATTAGCTTACTTCTTGAAGTTTAAATTTCAATTAGTTAATAACAATCATCATAAATAATAAATCGGCAATCTTGATTTCATTCTACCTTGTTCCCACCTTCCACTCATCCCTATCTTCTGCTCCCAAACGGATCACCAAATCCTGTTGATGCTACTTCTGCCATCTCTTCTCTGGAGACAGTCCCCTCTTCCTTATTCCTGCCACTCCTGCCCCAAGGCTGAGTCCTTATTAGCCCTTATCAAGTCCAAGCAACAGCTCTGGCAGAGCCAGCCTGTCCCTGGCACTATTAGGACATGTTTCTAAACTATGGACAGGTGGGACAATCTGCTACTCTGAGAGTCCCCACTGCAGTGACTCTCTTTCAATGACACATTCAAGGACTTTCACAACCTCCTCCTGCTCACCTTTCTCAACTCAGCCCTATACTGCCCTACCTCAACTTGTTTCTCTAAACTGCCCTTCATATGTCTACACCTCTGTCCCTACTACCCAAGACATCATAATCAGATAAAAAACTGCTTCTCCTCTTTCCAGACACAGTTCAATGTCCCCTTCTGGGTGGGCTCTTCCCTGATCTTCTTTCTGATTCATACAACAGAATCCATTCCTCTGTGCCACCAGACATAGCATAGCAACCCCGTTCCCTGGATTGTGTCAGAATTAACTGTATACATCTAGCACATTTCCCTAAGTGTAAACTTCCCTGGGCGAGGGTGACCTATTCATCTTTGTAGCCTCAAACCTTGGCACCATACAGGCAATCTAAGAGAGACACAATAAACTCCTTTTGAAGAGAAAACACAGTGAAAGTGATAGGAAAACCATTTGAAATAAAATTTCACTTTACACACCACTTTTCTCTCAGTCATAAAGCTATTCTGTGGTAAAATCCAGTTGCTTTAGAATTTAATCCCTGAGCTATCTGACAAAGGATATTTTAGAATATTTGCTTGGCAGTCTGCATATATAAACATTTTACAAGGAAGGATACAAATTGATACTAATTCACTTTAGCACTTAATTTACATTGTGCCTGCCTGGAAAAATCTTTCTATTTATTTAATGCCTAAAGCACTGGTCTTTCACTCACAAAGCTCAAAAGAAGCTGAACAGTCTCTAAAACTTTTCAAATATTTTCCTGTCAGGCTAAACAAAACAAAGAACATTTCACTAGAAAGGCATGCTTTTGTTTAAATTAGGACTAAGTTAAAATTAGGGGTAAAACTGAGGACGTTGCACAGTGACAAGTTTAGATTGAGTCCTCAAAGGAAGAAATCAAAAACATTCTCCTCACTGTTAAGTTCGTAGTAATATAAACCAGTCTTCAATGGAAGGCAGATGTCTCCTTTCCTGGGTTATGTCACCAGGCCTATGAGAATGTGTCACATTAAGCAGACAACATTCACCATCACATAGATGCACCTCAGAGTATGGAAGACAAAGGAATTCCTCAGTGTGTTTTCTCACCATGGTTCTGGGTCCCTAAGCCAAGGAAGTACTGCAACAACTTTTTGATAGCACTTGTAAAGGTCCCCAAAACCCATTCTCAGCACTGGCTTTCAAAGTATTGGTGAGTTTCTCTTTGTTTCCAGCTTTGATAAGTACCTGATCAGGTCTCCCATCTGTCAAAAGATAGATTACTTGTGTTTCTTTATCAGCAAAAGCAATTTTCAGGGCATTCAGGGTGTTTGTGGAGCTTCCAACCTATGAAAAAAAAGAAATACTGAAAAAACAAACAAGTGAAATTTATTTTCTGCCTCCAGAAAAGAAGAAGGAGGCAGAGAAGGAGGAGGAAGTGAAGGAGGACTTGTGATTCCAAGAAACCAAATAGTGAGTGTACCATAAAAGTCTCTATCCAATCAGTCTAAGGCAAGAAACCAGGACTGTGGATTTCCTGTCTTGATGACAGAAATCTTAATGCAATTTTATCTTTGTGTGCTTCTATGTGAGATGCAAACTCAGTTACAGTTCGCCCAGCTTTCAGCAGAGCCTAAACATGCAGCTCAAATGTACCCCAGTGGGGATCATGTTTGTTTCAATCCAGGATTTATTTGTGACATTCAATATTTACAAATATGGGTGTGGTCTCATTAACTATCTAACAATTGACATAAAGACATATACCATCATAACTTGAATCCATACAGGTTTTGAACAAATACTATTAGGTCTTATGTGAGCACACGGTCTTAAGTGAGGGACTCTAAATGTTCTACTTTACATATGATGGAAATAAACAGTATGGGCACTCTGTATCCATACAAATAAATACAGTGGGCACTCTGTATCCATAAGCTTCATAGCCATGGATTCAATCAACCAGGTTAAAAAATATTTGGAAAAAAATCATACCTGCACTGAACACGAAGACTTTTTTCCTTATCGTTATTCCCTAAGAATACATTAGAGCGACTGTTCACATATCATTTATATTGTATTTTATATAAGTAACCTAGAGATTATTTAAAGCACACAGGAAGATGTGCATAGGTTATATTCAAACACTGCTCCATTTTATGTATGAAACATGAACATCTGCAGATTTGCGTATTCACAGGAGTGGGGGAGGGAGTTCTGGAACCAATCCTTCATGGACACCAAGGGACAACTGTATCAATCCAAATCAAAATCAGACATGACTGAAGGCAATAGGTTATGGCTCATTGTCTCTCCCACATGTAATTTTCATTGTAACTCCACCCACAACTCTTTATGCAAAAAAGAAAATGCATACATTGTATGTCAAAGGAAATTCATAATAGGTTTTAAAGCAATCTGTACAATCATATTAAACAATTACAAATTAGAAAATATCCTGAGTGTTTGTCAATATAGAAAGGCATGTACTTTCAGATAAATATAAATCCACTGGAATGTGCTTTCCTTAATGTGTAAAAATGATCCTTACCTAGATATCTATGATATTCTCTATCAGTGAAAAATACAGGACTGTAAGACTCCCAAAAGCCACATTAAGCATTCCCCCTCATCTCAGACCCAGGGTATCAATTTAACATCAGTGCTAAGCATGAACACCAATTGTGGTTGATTCAAGCAGAAAGGAATTTATGAAAAAGGCATTGGGGTGGCAGGAGAACCAACTTGGGAACTCACACCAAGAGCAAGGGCCCCAATATCCTGCTGTAGATTTGCCTTGTGGGGTTCCCACAGCAATACCACTGCCAAACACAAGACCAGCAGCCCACTTCCTCTTCTAGGAGCTACATCAGTCTGTATCTGCCACCACTGCCACTGTTCTCCCTGCTAGGCCCACCATCTGGAGTCACTGCCAGTCATTTCAAAGCTTAGGTGGTCATTTTTACTGGTGGTGCCTGGATCACATTACTCACACCATAGTTCAAGGGAGGCTAGAACTTTCAACTTCAATAGGGTGAATAGATTCTGCTTCCCATACCAAGAATCAGGATAAGAAGGGAGTAAAGACTGATGACCAAAGGAATGACAAATACCCAACACATATCCAAGTCCTGACCCAAGCTGTCTCTAAAACCTCACTATATACTGTAGACTCCCTCTTTGTTAAGAGTTTCTCAGACCCAGACACAAGTGGGGATGCTATGCCCTGACCCATCCAGTTGCTCCCATCTAAGGGGATATTAGTAAGTTCCAAGTGCTAGATATTTTGCTAATCTAGAACATAACTTACAAAACCAGTCCAAATTCTGTATCTTGAGGCTTAGAAACCACTACCAAACACTGTGCTAAAGTTGCCAGATATCACACCCAGAATTAAACAGAACTTGCTCTTGTTAAGTGGACAGCTAAAGACATATCATGGGAGGATTCCAAGATGGCGGCTAGAGGTAGGAAGCAGAAAGCGAGCCTCCTATAGTGAAATCTTGGAGAGACGCTGGAGACACACTTTGCAGGCATAATCACCGAGAAAAGGCATAACTTTGACTCCTTCACATCTCCAGCCGGTGCAGAGAATCTCCACTTCACGTTAAACGGAGAACCGAGGAGGCCCCCGGGGCCGCCAGTGGCCGGTGCCCATACGGCTTGGGAACACGCGGACCAGGTGAGCTTCGCGGTACCGCGGTTCCCCCACAGACAAGCCTGGGCCAGAGCAGCATAGCCCCCTGGACAGACTGACCTCCACCCGGGGAAAAAAAGAGAAACTGAGTACTAAGCAATAAGAACAGTTAAGACACGCTGGAAAGAGGGTGGGGCGCCCTGAGCGCTGAAGATTGGGGGAAGGGAATCCTTCCCGGGACTGTAAATAAACGAGCCGGGCGGGCCGGAGAGGCTCTGGCGGGAGCGGGGCGCGCCAGCAACCAGGAGCGGGGACGCTTGTGAGAGGAGGGAAGACCCACTTCCCACGTGAACTGTAAATAAACACGCAGGCCTGACAACGCGGGGCAGTGTCGCCTTTCCCAGTGCTTGGAAAGGGAAAGCCTGTAGCAGAGGCCCCCCCCCCACAGGAGAACTCTGAGCAAACAAAGCCTGTGGGACCAGGTGAGTGCTAAGCTCACCCCAGAGATCTGCATAAATAACGCCGCCAGCTACAGGCTGAGAGCAGCAGGCAGGCAAGCCACAGTTGCAGATACCACTCTCAGAACTGCCTCCAGACGCTTTTTTTTCTTTTTCTCCCTACCTTTGATGAGAGAACAACCGAATTACACCTGCAAGCCGAAAAACTTACTGAAACTGTATTGCATTTGAACTGGGACACTTGGTGGGGCTTTTTTTTTTTTTTCTTCTGTGTGTGTGTGAGTGTAGTTTTGTTCTACTTTATGCATCCCCTTTGATGAGACAACTACAGAACAACATCTGAGGCACCAACTCCAGGACTGGAGATTGAGACGGACATCCAAATTATTAAGACTGAAATTGCATTGCATATAAACTTGGAAGTTTTTTGGTTTTTTTTTTTTTTTTTTAATTTTCTATTTTCCATTTTATTTTAATTCATTTTTATAAATAGATATTACTTTCATATACTTATTTTTTATTTTTTTTATCTTTGATTTTCAATCCTCTCTCTGTCTCTCTATTGTCTGTTCAGCTTACTGTCGATTAGTACACTAACACTCCCTGTTTATACCTTTGAAACTCTCTTGTCTGATACCTTGTTCTGCTTTCTCCCTCTTGTCTGTATATTTGTTTTCCCCTTTTCTTTAACTTCTTGCTTTCCATCTCAGCTCACTCTTCCATTCTCAATATTACCATTGTTATTATTACAAGCTAGAAAATACTTAATTACACACAGTACAGGGACAGTAACAACACCAAGGACAATGACAGGAAGACAGAAAAAACAGGAAACCAGTTTCCCCACAGCAAAAAATTAGTACAGGAACCAGAGGGGAATGAAGAGAACAGAAACTCAGAGCCAGACTCCAACAAAATGAAGATAAACTATGCCAAAGGACCCAATGAAGCCTACAAGAATAATTTAAAAGAAGACATACTACAAGTACTCAATGAGAATTTTATAGAGATGATACTGGATAGGGTCAACCAAAATGTACAGGAGACACTCAAGAAATTCCAAGACAATAAAAATAGAGAATTTGAAAAAGCAAAAGAAGAAATAAAGGAAACCATAGAAGCACTGTATAAACACCAAAGTGAAAGAGAGAACACAATGAATAAATGGATAAATGAACTCAGGACAAAAATAGACAACAATAAAGAAGAAAACAGCCAGGATATGGAAAACCTCAGAAAAAAGAACGAAACAGAACTGCAAAACAAAACGGAAGGCCAATCCAGCAGAATAGAACAAACAGAAGACAGAATCTCAGAACTTGAAGATGAAATGGTAATTAAAGGAAAAACCGAAGAACTATTAATTAAACAACTCAAGACCTGTGAAAAGAAAATGCAAGAACTCACTGACTCCATCAAAAGACCAAACTTGAGAATCATGGGCATCGAAGAAGGAGAAGAGGTGCAAGCGAAGGGAATGCGTAATATATTCAACAAAATAATAACGGAAAATTTCCCAAATCTAGAGAAAGATATTCCCATACAAATGCAAGAGGCCTCCAGGACACCAAACAGACCAGATCAAAATAGAACTACTCCACGACATATCATCATTAAAACAACAAGTTCAGAAACTAAGGAAAGAATATTGAAGGCTGCAAGAGAGAAAAAACAAGTAACATACAAAGGTAAACCCATCAAAATCACAGCAGACTTCTCAACAGAAACATTAAAAGCAAGAAGAGCGTGGGGTGAGATCTTCCGGGCACTGAATGAAAATAACTTCAACCCCAGGATACTCTACCCAGCAAAGCTATCATTCAAAATAGATGGAGCAATAAAAGTCTTCCATGATAAGCAGAAACTAAAACAATATGTGACCACAAAGCCACCATTACAAAAGATTCTGCAAGGGATCTGCACACAGAAAGTGACACCCAACTTAACCATGAAAAGGCAGGCAGCACCAAACCACAGGATAAGAAAAAGCAAGACAGTAGAGAGTAACATCAAGTTAGGTACACACAATCAAACCTTCAAACAACTAAGACAACTAAATGGCAGGAATCACCACATACCTATCAGTACTAACACTTAATGTTAATGGACTTAATTCACCCATCAAAAGACACCGTTTGACAAAATGGATTAAAAAAGAAGATCCAACAATTTGTTGCTTACAGGAGACTCATCTCACCGACAGAAATAAGCATATGCTTAGGATGAAAGGCTGGAAGAAGATTTACCAAGCC